GTTTCAGCCGATCCAGCTGCTCCTTGATCCATTGGAGCGACGCCGTGTTGGGCGTCCGGAAGATCCAACGCAACACAATCTTGGAGTCGTCGTTCTCGTCCGTGGTAACCTCGACGGTGAGGTCCTGGACTTTTCCATCGTCCACCACGGTAGAGTAATCGTCGTCGTCGGCCTCGGGTGCGACAACATCGTCGTCGGCACCCCCTAGATACCAGCGCTGGGGATACAGTTCCACAAATCCGTAGTCCGCCAGGATTGGCTGGGAGCCGTAGTTGTACATGACTGCGCTGTACGCACAAGTCGAATCGAAACACTCGGAATAGGTGTACTGCAGCTGCTCCCCGGCGGCAACGTCTMGGGTGGTGTAGGCGGCAATATCGCCGCCTCCGTCGTGCACGGAGGTCACCTCAACGTTGCGCTGCGGCCCGTTTCGGTGGTTGAACATGTCCACCAGCGGGAGTAGCTTGTCGTCCCATCCCCGCGACTTGAGAAACAAAAAGGCGTCCTGGACCTTGATGGTCTCGATAAGCTCGTCTAATTCCTTTTCGGTGTAGAGATCATCATCTTCGTCGTCGTCGTCGTTGTCGTCGCTGCCATCGTCCTGGAGAATCGAAAACTGAAATAACTTGTTTTCGGGGCAGTACGTCGATACGAACGGATGCTCAAAAATTTCTGGCTCCAGTGTGTAGTAATCCCCTTGGGGCTCGAGGATGAGTTCTAGGATTTCCTTAGATTCCGGTGACCAAGTGGTAGGGAGCAACCCGCGCGAGGTTCCACCCACCGTGTCGTCGAACAAATAGGACARGTATGGCTCGTAAAACGACGACGGAGTCGAAGGGTCTTTTTTGCTGTTCTTCACTTTTTCGTATTCCTCTAGCATTTTCTGCACCGTCACACAGTCTCGGGGGCCGGGGTTGCGTCCAATCTCCACGGGCTGGTGGCTCTCTATGACATACTTCCGGGGAAGGACGATCAGCGGGGTCCCCTTTGGGATATCTTCCGTGGCGTGGTAGGCGTAGGGGCCCGATTCCCCGTCGGGGCCCAAGCGCCGGAAGCGTATGGACGGGTGGAAGAAAGAAGTTGGATCTTCCAGGAGCCAGTCCACTAGGCGCTGCTGATATTCTTCCGGCTGCTTCTGGGCCGCCATGGAGAGAGGAGCGAGGCATGCACTCCACAGAAACAGGACCGTGACGATGGTTTGTCTCGTGGACCCTGACATCATTATCTCGTTTCTCTGCGATCAGGCAGTTATTGTTTGTTYTTKTTGTTTTCTGGTCCGTGCAATAGMAACTTAAACTCTCTTGGATTGCTTGAAAAATACCTTCGTCTCACTCGGAGGTAGTTTTTACGATTGTATTTCTTACAGAGTTTGTGACAGAAGGGTGTTCATTAACTGTTAGCGTTCGGGATTGACATCGCAATATCGTTATTTAAACTAGCACAATGGAAGAAAGGTTTGGCTTCGTCCGGCGTTGAAGACAAGCAAAAGATTGCCTCCATGAGAAATGGAATACTACGAATCTACGGTACGGTAGATTCCTGCTTTCTCCTCTAACGGATGGTTTCGAGTCTCGTTACCTGTTGCGCGACCATAACAGGAGGCAGGCTTCGGTTAAACGGCCGACGAACGATGAACGCATTTACAGAGGTGCACGGGAAAGGGGGCCCTCCGCAACCTAATAAAAAAACAACTGTATCCCTCTTTCAMATCAAAATTGGGGGGAAAATTTCGTTGGGTGTGAACCTGGTTTAAGGTACAAATGAAAAGAAACAAATTTGAAGATTTTGGGTGCTAAATGGTCAAAATACTATTAACGGGAATCAAACTTGCAACGGACAGACAGTGAGGAAGGCGGGCTCGATCTCAGTCTTTTTCGGAATTTGGAACCTTGACTTCAATATAATCTATGACTATTATGGTTCTCCTCGGAACTCGCTTGAACAGTTTAAGATTGAAAGAACTTCTTAGATCAAGATGTCGGAGTTGAATTTTAAGGATTTAGACATTCTCAAGATCTCGATGTAGCGAGTCCCGGAGAGACGGGACACAGGAACACGCGCGCCGCGCGCGTCCGTCCGTCGTAAACAAAAGGAGTGGCTGGGAACAGCCAGCTGAAGCAAGGAAGCAAGCARCAGMAACAAGRGGTGCGCCTAAGATCCCAGCAGCTGCMAGCTCCTCACTGGGATCATTAGTGCTGCAGACTGAATGAAACAGTAGAGTAGTAGTAATAAGAGCTGAAGCTTTGGTGGGACAGGGGCCTAACCCATAGGCGAGCCCCAGTCCTGCTTGGAGACCTCAGGCCATGGGGAGTACAGCTGACCCCCGACCTTCGAGGTACGCGGATCTCTTCATCGATCCCCAAGCCAATCCGTTTGGAACCGATCCCCTAGTCCGAAAGAACGCCTATCAAGGGATCTACCAGCGGTTTAGCAGTATCGGCCCAGCCCCCCTCGCCGCTTCAGGGCTACTGGACCACGTACTAAACCTCTTTGAGGCCAAGGCCGTAGGCGGAATAGGAATCTTTGTCAATGACACCACGCGTCCGCCGCAACTGCGTGTGATCCACGGAATCCGTAAGTATCCTGGAAGCTTGATTGAACACTCCAGTAACGCCAACAAAGTGTTTGGGTACCTCGATGATGTAGTATCAGGGAGAGGGGAGTTAGTCCAGGTAACTGCAAACATGTTCGCACTTACTAACGCGGTCAGAGTACTTCCGGAGCCGCAACATCGTGTGGAGCTAGAGGGTAACCCGGACCTACAGTTTACAGGGCCTCTAACAAGTGAAGCCAATCCCCAGTCTGTAAAGCTGCGGTGCCGACACACGTTTTTCATACCCTTTGAACTAATGCCGCACGTGCTGGGGAAGAGACTCACTCCGAGAGCCGCCTATTTCATCATCCAACCCTGGCTTGAAGCCACGGGGCTCAGCGACGTCGCAGAGCCCCTCCTAGCTGCACTCCGCATCGGCAGTACCCAAGTACTAAACTCCACACCGGGGGGAGGAGCCGTATGTGAAATTGCCGCCACGGAACCAGGGCCCCTATTCCGGGCAGAAGCCAATCTCACCTTGTACATGGAAGAAAAAGTGTTGCACAGGGACTTGCCGGGCCTGGTAGCCGTACCGTCATTAGTTGGCCCGGAAACAGCAGCCTTAACTGCTGCAGTATCCACACTAACTGACACCCACTTAAGAGCGACCCAAGCAAGCGAGCAGCGTCGCGTGGAGGATGCTAAGCCAGCCACGCTCGAAGAAGTCTTTGGCTCACTAAATGCACACCGTTTAAAGATACTGTGCGCCGGGAGCCAAGCTGAAGACCTGCCCCCAGTATATACAGCCTGGACAAGCAAGAAAAAGGGGGAAAAGCTGCATGCACTGTTTCAGAGCCACGTGGACCAAAGCGCCCGCGAGCTGGGGCTACAGCCCCCCTTCATCCCCCTGGCAGCCCTCAAGAGCTTTCAAGCCTTCCGCTTCTATGGGATAGATGAATGTGAATTAGGGGATGGAATACTCCCCATGGCATTTGCCCCACCGGGGGGGTCACCTACAGCCAGGAAGCAGCAACTGGAAGAGGCTACAGCTGCGGCAGCTTATGATACAATGGTCTCCACAGAAGGCAACTCGATATCCTTCAGTGACGCCACCACGTTGGGAAAAGCGAAAGGATATATCCCCGTGGACTGGACCGAAGCCCTGTTGCAACTGGAAGGATATCTTCCCGTCCTTGCCACACTAATAGGCACCGATCATCCCTTGGTTCGTAACTATCTAAGCGGACTCGATCGACTAAAACGGATACAACTTGCACTAAGACATGCACTTAAAGATGAGTGTGGGAATAGGCTAGCCCCCGCAATACTCGTATACTACTTCCAGATACGAGTACGTTGCTGGTTAGAAGACCAATGGGACAGTGACAACCCAGTGGAAGCTCCTAGCTTCACACAAGAATTCCGGACCTTTAAGCTGTCCCGTAACTTGAACTGGTTACCGGGGATATCAGATATCCCAGCCCTACAGGGACTGAGAAAGCCCGCAACACCAGCACCAAATGCGAGGACTCCCACACGAGGGGGGGCCAATGCCACCAAAGGGAGAAGCGGACAAACAAGCGGGCCCTCCTCCAATAACAATAGTAACAACAGTACCAATCAGCAAACGAGGGTTGTGAACCCCAACCAAGACCCTAGGATCGCGGCCGCAGAAGGAGAGCTTAAATCAAGGCTCAAGAACTGGAAGATTGCCAAGGCAATGAGCACGATGAAGGCCAAAGGAAAGGGGCCCTGCCTCAGGAATGATGGCAAAGAAATGTGCCATTCCTGGCGTGCTAAAGGCTACTGTTACGACGGCTGCCGGCTAGGGTATGATCACATAGAGTCAACAGCAGACGAAGACGACCGCTTTTGGTCTTGGTGCCAGGAGGCTTATACCGACACAGACCAATGAAGAGGGGGCAGGCAGCCTGCTCCTTATCGCGCAGCTGCTGTGCCACTGCCCCCACTTAAACGTCAGAGGAGGCGGGTGCAGGATACAGCAGCAGACTGGGAAATGACTCACTCCCCTGTAGAACTAGGTAAGCAGTGTACGCGAGAGCATTTCCCACATAATCGTAAGAGGAGACAGGAGCCCGTTCCTGACGTCTCCCCCAACACCAATAGCCAGATACCAGAGGAGAGCCGAGACTACGCTGGTCCTGGTACTGAACATCGTAGGGACGACGGAGGCCAACGAGAGCCTGCAGACAGCCCCTGGGAGCCTGAATACACGGGGGTCGAGTCCCCCAGGGCCCCAAACACAACAACCAGAGCCCGACAGGGAGCGCCCCTTCCTACCACGTATCCATACGACCGGCTCGATGCTCATGTCGCCAAAGCTGTAACGGCCTTTCATCAAGCAAGCAGCTGGGGAGACTTCATTCGATCGGTTAGGGGACGGGGGGACCTCCATCAGGACGTGGGAAAGCTACCACATCCGGCAGCTCCCCTACTACACAGTTTCCAGCAGGAAGGAACCCCAGCTCCGATGACTTCGCCACCATGGGGAGCAGCCCGTATAGCAGGAGCTTTAGCCCGGGGGCCACACAAGTCCTCCCACAACGGCATAGAATTCCTTCGAGAGGAGTATGCAGATATGATGGATAAGCAACAATGGACTGTCTTACCTGCCAAGCTGGTGACCGGAATCCCAGGGCTCCGATTAAGCCCACTGGGACTCGTGCCACAGCGAGGGAGAAGGGACCGAATGATCTCTGATTACAGTTACTTTGGGGTGAACGCGGAAACTGCCCCCTTAGCCCCCGCTGAAGCAATGCAGTTCGGCCGAGCCCTGAAACGCCTCCTCCAGCGAATCCACAGTGCCAGTAGTAGGTTTGGGCCAGTGTATCTGTCAAAGATAGACCTGTCCGATGGGTTCTACAGACTCTGGGTGAAGCCGGAGGACACACTTAGCCTAGCAGTGCTGTTCCCACAACGGGAAGGGGAACAGCCCCTAGTAGGAATTCCTCTCACGAATCCCATGGGATGGTGCTCATCACCACCCAACTTTAGCGCCTGCACAGAGACAGTAGCAGACCTAGCCAATGGCATCCTTTTAAAGGAGGGACTGGGAAGGATGAGAAGATCACCACACCGACTCGACGGAATATCCGAGACCCCGCCCGAGGAGGTCGAGGCCACCAGCCCACAGTCATCACTGGAGAAGAGCCCAGCCAGGGAGGCAAGCTTTCCAGCCCGTAAGCCCTTGCACTACTGGGACATCTATGTGGATGATTTCTGTGGATTGGTCCAAGGGAACCAATGGACCCGGCGAGCAGTGAAAAGGACCCTGCTCCACTCCCTGGACAGAGTATTCCGGCCTCTGGACGAGCAGGACACTCCTTACCGACAGGAGCCTGCCTCCATCAAGAAGCTTAAGAAGGGGGATGCCACGTGGACAACCTCCAAAGTAATACTGGGATGGCTTATTGACACCACAAATAAGACGATTAGCCTGCCCCCCCACCGGGTGGCAAGGCTGCAGGAACTGCTTCAGTCCATTCAGCCCCACCAGAAGTATGCGACTGTGGGAGACTGGCACAAGTTACTCGGGGAGTTGAGATCCATGTCCCTAGCCTTACCGGGTTCCCTGGGACTGTTCTCCATGCTGCAAGAAGCACTCCGACACCAGGAAAAAGGTCGTAACAGACTACGTCTCACTCGTGCCCTCCATGGCTTCTTGCAGGACTTTCGATGGCTAGCCCAGGACATAGCGAGCAGACCGACTCGGATTGCGGAGCTGGTCCCAGACCTCTGGCCAGCCACCATTGGTGCTTGTGATGCCGCTGGTGCGGGGATGGGAGGAGTGCATTTCCTCCCCACACCAGATGGCAGAATACAGCCACTGTTCTGGCGAGCCCCATTTCCAGCATGGATCCGCCGTGACTTGGTCTCCTTTGCCAATCCGAAAGGGACAGTTACCAATAGTGAACTGGAACTGGCAGGGTCTATAGCCCACATCGATATCCTGGCTCAAGCTGCCGACATTGGAGAACGCACCGTACACAACCTTTACGACAACACCGCTACAGTACATTGGCAGAGGAAGGGAGCAGCTACGACCACGGGGCCGGTAGCATACCTCCTTCGACTGCAGTCCCTCCACCAAAGGCTCTTCCGCTATGTACCAAGACATGATTACATACCAGGACCAGCCAACGTTATGGCGGATACCCTGTCCCGGGCCTGGCACCTCTCCGACTCACAGTTGCTTGCACTTTTCAACCACTCTTTTCCCCAGAGCTTGCCCTGGCAAAGCTGCCGGCTCCGGAAGCCGATGTATTCCGCACTGATCTTGTCCTTGTCCAAACGGAGATGCGAGCCAGTGTTACTGCAGGCTATTCCAAGAAAAAGGATGCCCATTGGGAATGCTGGCTTCACTACTGCGTGTCACACAAGTTGGACCCTTTCCTCCGCACTACCAAAGACCCTGTCCCATACTTGCAAGTCTTTGGAGCCCGGTACCAAGATGGAAGACTGTCCCCCAGCGGCAAACGTGCACGAGCTCATACAGTATGTGACGCCATCCGTTCAGTGGGCCAGAAGATCACCCGCATGGGGGCCCAAGATCCCCGACTCAACCAGTTTGGTGCAATAGACTACCGGCTCACCTCCCAGTTGAGGGCTTATCGCAAACGAGACAGCCCTCCAGCCCGCGTGAAGCCGGTACCTATCACCATCGTTATACACGCACTCAACTTTGCTTATCACCGCAGTCCTACACCAGAACGCCAGGCGGTCGCTAATATGATCTGCATCGCGTTCTTCTTCTGCCTAAGACCGGGGGAATACACCGGGACCACATCAGATGATCAAGCTTTCTCCCTCAATGACATCACCTTCTTTGTGGGGGCCAGACGGCTGTCCTCCGAAACGGCCTCCGACACAGATATCAGTGCCGCCACTTCAATCCAACTCACTTTCACCACACAAAAAAACGGAATCAAAGGGGACGTTATTGCGCACGCTCGCAGCAACGATCCCCTGTGCTGTCCAGTGACAGCAGTTATACGGCAATTCCTTCTGCACAGGCACCACTCCAACACTTTCGATGGTTCGGTCAAACTGGCGAGTTTCTACGACGCCAACAGCGGAACCAACGTACGAATCACATCCAAAATGATTACAACGACAATGCGATGGCATGCAGCCATCTTGCAACACACCACTGGCATTAACCCAGCTTCCCTCAGCGCTCGCTCTTTGCGAGCCGGAGGGGCCATGGCCCTCCTTCAGGGCCAATGCGACTCCAACGTCATCAAACTCCTCGCTCGGTGGCACAGCGATGCCATGATGCGATACCTCCATCAACAATCGGTCCCCTTATTCCGGAACCTTGCCTCCCTCATGTTCAACAATGGCACCTACAGCTTCCTCCCCGAAGAATCCGTTCCCTCAGCGGCGTAGCGCTCTGCGCTCTTCCTGCGGGCTCCGCACAGCGGGCCCACAGCCCCACGCTCACAGCGCAACGCTCCGGCGCCTCCCACCACGCTTTGCTCCCACCCTTTGGCCSGTGGCCCMTTGGCAGCAGCTAGTAGTTACACAGTATGCGTGTGCTGGTGGTGTAGGATCAGCAGGCTCAAGGATGCTGCGGCTCCCCCTCCCCTCCAAGCCTTAACCCT